TACATGGTCCTCTCACGACACATATCCACAAGCTCTTCCTAGTTGGATCATAACACATAAGAAGAGTGGCTTCCTGCGCAATTGTGGGTGCACATGCTATAGGGCAGTCTCGTGTTAGGGTATGGACTCATATCCCATGAGTCATGACTATCTTTTACTGGGCCACTGCGTTTAAGGTAGTTAGGTTTTGATCTCTTTTTGGTTCTCTTAGCCCTGGCCAACTCATAATCCCATGACGCATATAGTCTAAGTATACCCCTGACTTAGAGGTGACCCTCACTCCTCTAAAAGCGATCTTTCTCTTTCACCTGTATTTCTCATTGCCTCATGTACTTGGGGTATATGATTCTAGGCCTTAGTGTTGCAAGCACCTATAATCGTCTTCTCGGCGACAAAATCTTGGTTTAAGGCCTTACGTTCCAAATACAACAATCCTCACTCATTACACTTTGATATCAAATATTAGGGGCCTCTTAAGTTCTTTCTAGTTATAGAAGTTGTGACTTCCAAGCAGGGGACATTCATTTTTGACGCAGGAAGGAAATATGAGAAATTGAATCCACCTTTTTTTTTTGAATCACAAACAAGAAAAAATCAACAAGAATGGAGAAAAAATATGGTTGTAAATCAAGACGAGAAAAAACATTTGTCTTTCATAAAATAAAATTCATTCCAAATAACATAAGCCTCCCAAAATGTGACATCCAACCTTTGAAAGGTGGACTATGTGACCGGGCAAGTCAACACCAATTAAAAATTTCTGTCTTTTTCTTATTGTATTGCCACCCAAGTCCCTTACATATTCTAAAGCATGTAAAACAAACTGATAAATTTCTCCAAAACTAACAGTTTGAATTGTGAGTCCTTGGTTTTCTATTGTCTTGATGGCTTCTTTGCCCAAAGTAGGAGGAATAGATTCCAAATAATATTGCGTGAGATTAACATCATCGATTCCTCCAATTTTATGGTATCTTTTGTTCATTTCCATAAAATGTTTTTCCAGATCATGCTGTTTAAAAGAACAGCATTTGAGTTGGAAAAATTCTTCTCTCGCCGTAATCTGTTCATGTCTGACTGGTCCTGTGAATTCAGCAATGAGATAACTAAAAAACTCAATAATGCATTGACTGTTTCTTAATTGTGTCCAAATACAATATAAATCAAATAAGATTGCCAAGAGCTCTCACTTACTTGCCATTAAAACAAAAATACAGATCTGAAAATGAAAGATGCAATGAAATAAAGAGAGTATAAACCAAGAGAATACTTTACCTCAGGTTACCCTCAAAGGCTTCGTACACCCCACGTCGGGCCTCCTCCACAAAAGGCATACAGGATCTTGGTTCAAGATCTGATCTCGCAATTTGGGAAGCCTAGGCAAAACCACCAAGGATCATAACATGGGATATCACTTGACCAAGGCTCAACACATGAGCATAAGATCAAGACCTAGAGCTAGGCTATGTGGCTTGGGCTTGCCATCCCTTAGGGTTAGGTTTCTTTCCTAAACCCTAAGCTTTAGAGAAAGAAGAAGAGAGAAGTTTAGAGAGAGGCGTGCCACCCCTTTGAGTCTCAGAGAGAGAGAGAGAGAGTTTAGGTGTGTAGATAATGAACCCCCCATAGCTAGTTTAAATGGAACAAGGCTAGGGTTTCTAGGGTTGGGGTTTTATTATCATTGTGAGATTTAATCTTGACTTTTGATCTTGGAAACCTGTGAGGTGAAAAGATTCCATCCATTCAGTCCTTAGATTAGCCATTATGATTAAAAGAATGAGCTGGAAGCATTGTCCTTCAGTTTCCATAACTCCATTCCCATCAAATATTGTGTAGAGAAAGTAAAAATCTATTCTAATTATTTTCTTACACTTTTCCTTTTAAAAGCAATCGAAATCTCTACACAAAACAAATTCTTAAAAACTCGAAACAACCCATGGCTTGATTGCCATAATACAAAATAGGAAAGTTTGGCGGTAGGGTGCACCACCCATGGGTGGGCCATGTGGGACCCACGCCCATATATTGGTGAGCCCATAGAGCCCCAATGGGCCCCCAATAATTAAAATAATATTTTCAGATAATAAAATAATTTTATAAAATCTTTAAATAATTTATTTATTCTCTGATTAAAATAAATCCAAAAAATTGATTTTTCTTATTTTAAAATCATTTTTTAATAGAATAAATCTCAAAATTCATTTTAATTATCTTAAAATTAATTAAAATATATTTAAACATATCTAAGTATATTCGATGGGAATTGGATCCATAGAGTTAGGATTACGATAAATATATTGAGGACTCCATCCTCTTTAGAGACTGTATTTCACTGCACCTTCTCAAACTGACTCAATATATCCTATGGCCCACTGCCTCTCGTTGGGATTCATAATTGGACTATCAAAGTCCGCCAATAAAGTGCAGGAGATAAGATTCTAGACCATGGATTACATGTCCCTCCCTGAGGACATGTTTAGGCCCCATTTTAGTAGTATGCTCCATAGGTCCTTCCAACACAGTCAGTGTTGCAGGGAGTCTCTCTTAATACATGTACACGTCAAACACCCTTTATCCATAAAGGGCCGCTTCTTGGATGGCTATCTAGTGTACATGTCGTGTGATGGTAATGATGAGGATTCAAGCCCTTATCCGCGCAAACCATCCATCACACACATGGGTCAAGTCCATACCCCCTGGCCAATTGTCCTAGGCACAATTCCGACCTCATCATGGGATAACCCCATATCGGAAACCTTTATCGATTGTCTTCACATGTGGCCAGGACTACGGGGTTTTGGACATCACATTGAGTCATGGTTAGTTAAAGCTCAGGTATGTCTATGCATTAGAAATGCTTCATAGTCCAATGTAGACCATACTCTCATTGGAGCCAATATTTCACTATATGTTTTTCAGTACATGTTCTCATAAGGTCCTTTAAATGGCCACAAAACCCTAACAATCTTGTATAAGCCTACGAAATCCTAAAACTTGCTTGAGATCCAAGTAAGCATCTAAGACTTTAAAATACTCCTAAATAATACAAAAATTCTAGAAATACCCTGTGGATAGTAACATGCAAGTAGTACCCATGAACAGTATTGTGAACAGTACTAATGAATAGTAGCCACTTGATGTAGGAAGGAAGGGTGGGAAACTGGATCGACCTTTTCTTAAACCGTAACCATGTAAAAATCAGCAAGAATGGAGAAAAAACATTTTTGTAAATTAAGACAAGAGAAGAAGAGCTCTTTTCTTTCATAAAATAAAATTCATTCCAAACAATATAAGCCTCCAAAAATGTGACATCCAATCTTTTATAGGCCTATGAAATCCTAAAATTAACTTGTGATCCAAGTAAACATTTACGACTCTAAAATACCCTATAAGCAATACTAAAATTTCAAAAATACCCCTTTGAACAACAAAATGTGAACAATACCCATGAACAATGACACGAATAGTGCCTATGAACAGTACTTATAAATAGTGACCAATGATTAGTAATACAAAATATAGAAAAACCTGGAATCCCAAAAAAATTTAAAAACCTAGAAATAGACCCTAAAACTAAAAATTTAAATGTATATCTTTTGAAATTAAACAAAAAATAAAAATAAAAATAATTTGCTCTGCATCAATTTTGCTACACAATTATACTTTTGATCTTTTACATTAAATTGGGAAACCAACTTTTGAACCTCTTACTTGTCCACTCGATCTAATATCAAGTTGGATGCATCTTCTGGTGAGGTCCTAATTGATGTGGGAATGTACCAGAGGCTGGTTGGTCCCCTTATTTATCTGACCATTACACAACCAAATGTCACTTGTGTAGTCAGCCGGGTCAACTAGTTTATGCATGCTCTACGATCTTTACATTAGAGGATGTTACACATATTTTCTGATACCTCAAAAGTTTTCTTGGCAAGGGACGTTTTTTTAGGCATAAATCTTCTATTGATATAGGCGACTACAAAGATGCTTACAGGGCTCGTTGCCAGTTGATAGCAAATCAACTGTGTTATTGCACTATGGTGGGAGGAAATTTGGTTATTTGGAGAAGGTAAAAGCTGAGTGTAGTCTCGCAATTTATTGTAGATACAGCATATCAAGCCATGACGTCAATAGCGTGTGAGCTTTTATGGCTCAGAGTGCTCCTAAGGAATATGATAGTGCATATCATGTCACCTATTCCTATGTTCTATGACGATTATGCTGCTATACTATTGCCACTAATCCCTTATTCCATGAGAGGAAAAGGCACATTGGGGTTAATTGTCCTTTTGTTAGAGAATATCAGCAGCTAAAATCATATCCACTCCATGTAGGAGGAATGAAAATCAACTAGCCTATATTTTTACCAAGCCAAGGGATCGAGTCTGCCTTTGTACCTTTATATACAAGTTGTGCATGCAGGGCATACATGCACCAACTTGAGTGTAGAGAGTGTATATATTTTTATGGATATAGTTCTAGGGACCTATGTGGTAGTTTCTCTTAGTATTGCTTTGGTCATTATTTTCAACTGTTTATTCCTTTTGTAAATTTTGGAGGACAGAGCTATCCTTTGTAACTTATATGTGTACCAAATACATAAACACAAATCTTAGGCCTTTATTCCATTTCTCTATCTCCCATTGTGTTTTCTGTTGATCTTCCTCACTTCCTTTCTCTTCTCTCCTAGAGATCCAAGACAACTAATTTTGCACCTATCTATAAACCAGCATTTGTGTTATTTTTTAAGGTATTAAATCGAGCAAAGCATTCTTGCTTTAATGTTGCACTGTCTGCCAAGGTCTCTATTTTATAAAGAGATCAATGATTGACATACATATGTTTTCATGGTATATATAGTGGATATTCACATAGAATAGAAGTTCATGGTTTCCTTTTATTTGTCAACTGCCAATAGATGGATTCATGACTTCAATATGTGCATGTAATTTTATGTCTCACTACTTAGCCCTTCTCTAGTCGTACTGAAGGTTACATTTTTGCAGAAGGGAAAAGGGGTTCTTGTGAAGTCTGTCGGTGTAGTTGATGCTAGCTTGGATACAGTTTTTGAAGTGGTTGTTAGTCTTGACAAACGCCAGAGATATGAGTATGTCAACAAAAGCATTAATAATTTTTGGTGCATTTTCCATTATTTATTATTCATCTAAAGAAATGGAACCTGCAGGTGGGATATGTTGACTGCTGACTTAGAAATCTTAGACTCATCAAATGGGCATTACGATATTGTTTATGGGACATTTGATCCGAAGTATTTATCATGGTATGCATTTCAATGTTATATCTATTATGGTTCGTTTTATTATTTTTTTATGTTGCTGGAGACTTTGCATAATTTGTTAGTGTTATTATGAACCTCTTGTTTCCTATTGATATGTAGAAAATGAATCCTTGGGTTGTCACATCTTTTGCAAGTACATAGTGACTTGTTTTTATTGTAATCTACATTTGTCTTTTCAATAATTTGCGTCATTTTTGCATGGAAAATAGTCTAACCATAAGAGCATTAGCTTCATAGGTTGCGCCTGGTACTGACACATGCCATAACAACCATCTCATTTGATGGATGTCTTAGTGATGGAATTGCAGCTCATATGTATCAACATGTAGGTCCATGTGATGTGCACTCAATTTTTCATGACAATTAGTTCTTTCCCTCTGTAACTTGTGTTGGGTTTTGTGGCCTTTAAAGGCTTAGAGAGCTTGTAAAAATGATAATTTATAATATAATATGCGCTTCAGTGGGAGTGTGTATGTTAATTGACCATGGGTTGGGCATGTTAATTGACCATGGGTTGGGCGGTTTATTGGCCTAGATATATCCAAAACCTTACCTTTGAGCAAGTGGCACTACCAGTAAGGGTTTACGATAGGTCATCCCTTCTTTTGGTCAGAGAGATGCCCAGGGATGATGTTTGTAAGGTAGGAGAATTGTGTGGTCTCCTGTGTGCGGTTTGGCTTGTGAGAGCAAGGACCAAAGGCTCAACAACTTTCTGCATGATATGTGCACGTGACAACCGCGTTACTAAGAAGCAGCCCTATGGCGGGGCACATGTACATGTGCATAGAGAGCTCCAATTGCACAGTAGTGACAAGTGTTGGACTTGCTCTCTAAGGGGGGAACTTAAATCCACATTCCGCGATCATGGCTCCACTGTTTATTTTTCAACTTTGACAAGCCAATCATGAGCCCTTACATCAAGACTGGGTCAGTCATGGGTCTTTGTAGGGCTGGATTAGAAAATAGTAGTGAATCATGGTTTTTGAGTCAAGTTCAGTGCCCTTATTGTCGCTTATTTTGACCCATTGGTACCAATTGACTTCTAAAATATTTTGTTTTGGTATTACAAATGTTTTTATGATATTTACAAAATTTTCAGAATTTTAAAAATTTATTTCTGTTTTAAAATCCTTTAAATTGCATTTTCATAATTTCTGAAATTTGGAAGGGCATGTGGGGCCCAGGATCCAGCCCCACATGGGTGCCACCCATGAGTGGGATGTGGGCCATTATATGGACTACTTAATCTGTCGTGGGTGGCACACCCACTTTCGTGTATTTATATGACATCTCTTTTTTGTTAAAGGTTATTTTGGGGGAATCTTTTAAGGGATTCTATACAATGAGGCCATTTACCTTTGGTATAGGGGAGATCATAATTACTTACAACCATCCAACGTGAAATCCGATAGCTTAAGTGTGTCACAAAGTTTGAAAAAATTTCTTTTGAACTTTGAGCTTTGTCAATGAAATATATGCAACCATCAAAATTCACATCCTATGGTCGATATTAATTGTGAAATATATGCAACCATCAAATCCAGCACTTTGTTCCATGGCTTCCCATACACAATCTTAAAGGGGGACCTCCCATTTGATTGGTTGGCTGCGTTGCTATAAGAAAACTCAGCTGGAGGTAGGATTTGACTCCATTGATTAGGCTTACACAGGCATGGTTCGTTAGTATGTTTCCCAGATTTCGATGCACAACTTTTGTCTGTCTGTTGGTAGTAAGGCGCTACTGTATTGGAGTTGGTTGGTTAATTTCTTCCATTGTGTGCACCAGAAAGCCTCTCAAAACATGTATCCTGATCAGAGGTGATAGTCTTGGGGGCACTGTCTAAGTCTAACCACTTCCTTGAAGAATACATCAGCAATATGTGTAGCTTTGAGGGTGTTCCTACAAGAAGCCAGCTTCAAGAAACGATCTACCGCTATGAATATGGTTGATCTCTGGTAGTGTAAGGAAGTCTACTACAAAATTCATACCGATATCAGTGTAAGGGTCGGTAAGGAGTGGCAGCGTAGTGTATAAACCAGTATTTTGAGACATGTTAATCCTAGACCTTTCCATGACATCTCGCTTAAGTCAAGGCTAGTAATACTTGTTTTCCTCATCAATCCATTTTAGGTCCTCTTCTGAAATCCCTGAGTTCTCTTACTCCAGTTTACCCCTCCGCTGGACAACATTATGAACCACATGATGATCTGAATATTCAAAACCCCATGAATGGCTTTGGCAGCTGAGGTTGCCACTCGGGTACATGTAAAGGTCAGCAGCATAACCCTCAGAAAGCTCAATTTTGTATGTCTTGCTGCCCGTTCTTTGTAGCACTCGACAATGATCAATTTTCTTGCATTTTAGCTTGGGTGCCGACCAGAAAGTGTTCTCACAAGGTACATCATCAGTAGATCTCCTTCACTTTTGCTCGTCTAAGTTGGTCAGCATCATCCTTTTACTTGGCATAGTTTGCGTTTAGCTTCTCTCACACCTGCCTATGGATGTCTTCAAGTTGCTCGGCCGGGTCTATGCATCATCACTAGCTCATTCTCAGGAAAAGGAACCAGGTCGAGCGCTTTGCTTGGCTACTGTCCATACACGACCTCAGTAGAGGACCTTCACGTTTACCTATTGATAGTGCTGTTGTAGGCGCACTAGGCTTGAGACTGATCTCACTACTTGGGCTTGTCCCAGGCGAGACACTGAAGAAGATTTCCCAGGATTTGGCTCACCACCTTCCTTTAGCCGTTTGTTTGTGTGTGGAAAGCACCACTGTACTGAAGCTTGGTGCCCAATGTCCTCAACAGTGCGCCAAAAGTGACTCATGAAGCATGTATCCCGAGCAGAGGTGATAATTTTGGGGACTCAATGTAGGTGGGCCACTTGCATGGGTTGCATTGAGGGTATTCCTACATGAAATGAAGTGTGCCATCTTCAAAAAACAATCCGCCGTGGCAAAGATAGAGTCCCATCCTATGGCAGTGTGAGGGATTCCCACCACAAAATCCATGCTAATGTTTGTCCAAGGGTTTGAAACCACGGGCAGAGGGTTGTATAAGCCTTGTGTTTTTGGACCAGCCTTTGGCCAACTGGCAAGTTTTGATAGTGTATGGAACCAAGGCTAGGATACAAGACTTGGTACTTTCTTTAACAATGGACAATGCAACTTCAAAATACGGCACAATTACATGACATATGGCTACTTTTCCCTCAATTACGGCCACTTAAAATTGAATTACATCAATGTTAATTACATGCATACACTCTTAAAACCAAGGATTACAACTCAACTTGGGTCCCTTCACAAAAATCCAAACAAACTATGCACAGAGATTGAGCATACGCCCTCTTGAAATTCAAGTGCCATAAAAATCCAGCACTGCTCAAATATACAATGCCAAATTATACATGAATTTCAAATATAAAACACCACAAGACTCAAATCTCCAAAATGCAAACTAAAATATGCTCCAGTGCTCAATGGATCGTGATCATGGGAAGCCAATTGGAGCTCAACGTGTTTGGTTTATGGCAAAGGTCTTTAACAACATACGGTAGAGTGACTATTGGATGGCATTAATACTTATTAGGCCAACATCACATAATTATCTTAATGGAATGAAATTAAGCATCATACAATCTACACTTTGTGTTGCAATTTTAATGAAGAAAGGCTCAATTGACTTGGTACTAGAAGCATAAAAAACGCGGAAGAGAAATATATGTGAAATCTATTTCAATTTGGTGAGAAATCAAGAAGCATGACATGGGAAAGTTTTGGCATGGTTTCCCCTTATAATGTCACCGAATTAACTCAAGTGGATGATTTCATTAACTGGTTTGGATCCAAAATATAAAAAAAAATCACGTAATTAAATATCATGAAATCTCAATCAAAATTCTCCAAATCAATCTCAACTAAAAAACTCATGAATCAAGGAGGATTACAGCCACAAGAAGCTTTAAGGATGCATGGCTTTGATGAAGAATTCCCAAAATTGAAACTCTAAGAAGCTAGGGCATGGCCTTCAAGCTTGTGATGAAGCTTTCATGGAGCTTCAAACTCAAATTTTCTTACTTAATTCTCACTCTTCACTCCACACTTTCTCACACTAACAACTCAATTGAAAGAGAGGGAGAAACCCTAAGGGTTGGCCGTGTCACACTAAGAGAGAGAGAGAGAGAGAGAGCCAAACGAACAAGAGAGATAGAGAGAGAGAGAGTGCCAAACGAACAAGAGAGAGAGAGAGAGAGAGAGTGCCAAACGAACAAGCAAGGAGGGATTTATAGGCAATTGTAGAGATGCTTCTACATGAGTTAATCCTGGTCATTGAAATCAATCATCTATGGTATGAGAGGGCCAGGATTTAGCCACTCATCACTCATCATACCATCTTGATGAGTTGGTGAGATTGGACACCATTATTCCCCACCATTATCCTCCTAATTAACCTTAAATTCACTCCAAATTCCCTTCATTAATCTCTATTTTCGATTCACATCAAATTCAACTTGCTTCCATCATTGCTCATGCAAAATCAATTTAATAAAATGAAAAAACATAAGTAGGGGTCTGCGCCTCTAGGTTATTAATCTCACATTCTAGAAGCAATTTGAATTTGTAAATTGCCTCCAATTCCTTGTCACATGGGTGTGCAGGTGCACTCAATGATATGATGCCACATAGGATAGGTGGTTATATGCATATTGCATATATACTTAGGGTTTCAATTATAATTCCAAACCCTATGACCCTCCTAGAAGATCCTCACATGTGCACACAACCAACCAATTCCACACAAAGCATGTGCGCAAATAATTTTCACTATTTTTGCAAATTCACAAAATCCATTGTAGAACACATAATGAACTATTACACAAAAATAGGTCCTCCATGGATGTTGACGTCACCCCCACCTCACCTCCATTTGGGCCTTAATGTGGATTCCACTTGGTTCCATGTGGCACCATTGGCCATTTG